ACATCCCATGACCAGTTCCTACTATTCCATCATAGGGCATTAATAGTTGGTTTGGTGGAAACATTATGAGTTCTGCATGTGCCATTAGAGATCGTGTAGTGGAGGTTCAGTTCCATACGGAGTGTGTGGACAAGTATTTGGATTGGTACCTTACTATATCATACCCTTACATCATCCCACCTAGGAAGCATGGAGATGATGCTGAACCTTCTCATGTTGGATCATCACATGATGGTTCTTCCATGTTAATTTTGGGGTACCTTCTGATGACATGGTTTTGCCTTCACCGCCTCCACATGGTGCAAATGACGCGCAACGCTTGTAGATGATAACATTCATTATGGATAAACTCATGGATTTGGTTAACCCGACTGACAAGGTTTATAGTTTGGCAGTACATGCAGTACACATAACCAGTGAGGGGTCTATTTAGATATTTGATTTTAAATTTGTATTATTTATATATTTTGTGACTCAGACAATTTAGCACCGTACTTTTTGTCACGTAATATTTTGTCGAGTACATGTTAGGAAGATGAACATAACTTAACGCATTACAGCAAACATAAAATAACAATAAGGAACATGAAAACCTAGGCACTACTAGATGATAATGGATGTTTCAACATCTTAATTATGTCGTCCAAAGATCTGGAGATTGTCGCATTAAACTCAACCGGTCCCTTAGTTAGTCTACAATGATATGCTTTCTAAATAGCTTTCATATTTTCATCGATCTTTAACTCAATAAAGTTGTATTTCACGCTGCCATTAGTATCAATTCGATCTTCACAAATCTCAGTCTTTCTCACCTTTCTCTTATCAGTGTCCAACAATAATTCATTCAGCTTGGATGTGAAAGAGGCGAGACATGTGGCACCATCCTGAAGCTAAAACTCTACGGGAGTTTTCATCACGTTGAAGTATACTTCTACCTTGAACAGAAACTAAGGAAGAGGCATTATATGATGTTATGCAATTAACAACACTTATCCCTATTTATACAACTTTGGAGTCATTCTGGACCACATAATACGATTGGTGTAATCAAAGCCGTACAAAAGTGTCGGCACAATCATAGCCATTTAATTACACACTCTTTTATAACTCTCGAATTTTTCAATAATGGAATAAATATCGGGTAGTTTTTAGATTTAAAAAAAAATTATACTATGCAAATATTTAAGATATTTTCAAATATCTGGTGTGCCGGATATTTGGTATATACTATCGATTATTTTGGTGAATACCGAATTTTTTGTTTCAACTATCAAATATTTTGTTCGAATTTTTAGTCTTTGTCTTCTCACAAGAACAATCTAGATATTATTAAAATATGAGAGTGTCAGATATAAAAGGAAGGGAGACAGATAGATTCCTCTTCACTTTGTTTCTACTTCATTATCATTGAGATTAATTTTGATGAAATATAAGTGAATCAAAATATGAGTTTTATTTTATTTATAATAGAAACGGGATAAAATTTGGATTTTATATAAACTATTAACAAGAGATATAACATCAATGACAATACCATTAACTTATTTATATATATATATATATATATATATATATATATATATATATATATATATATATATATATATATATATATATATATATATATATATATATATATATATATATATATATATATATATATATATATATATATATATATATATATATATATATATATATATATATATATATATATATATATATATATATATATATATATATTATTAGGAACAATAATAAATAGAGTATTTTGTTGTGGCATACAAAATGGAGGTTGGTGCTTATAATGCTGCAATAAAGGGGAACAGTCTTATTAAACTCAGTAATTAAAGTTTCAATACATGATTAGTAGAGACTAAATCTATAGTAAGACAAACATGTATATCATTTTTTTTTACTTGTAACCTAATATCCCGAACTTCACCAAATGAATACGTGAATTGTCTCAAATCTAAATCCGTCTCCCTGTGAGCTATAGATTAACGAGATAAAATGTATATATAATTTGAAATACAAAATGATACATTATCTTAATTTTTTCAATATTTTTATATTTAAATATAAGATCTGGTGTCCTAAAATCTGAATACGAATGATTAAATTTTATATCAAATATTAAAAAAAAAATTATAAGAAAAATGATACATACACATAGTACTTTAATATTTTAAATAAATATATATTATTAATATTTGTTGGAATTAAACTTAAGATTTTGAATAATTCTAAATCAATTTTAATGAACAAGATTTAATCAACCGATTAAATTTTCTTCTTGTTCTTCACTCTTAACTCAATTGAATCAATCACATATTGATTGCAAGATACGTGAAATCTTTATCATCACTAATAGGTGGTTGTCTCTTTATTTGAAAAGTTTGTTGTGCAATCTAACTTGCCCGTATCTTCTTTGAAGATCCCCAGTAGAGTTATTGATTCCAAATTTCTAGCAAGTGGAAGTCCCTTTAACAGAGACAACTTGTATTTGGTCCTTTTTAAAGTTTGAAACTTGATTAAAGAAGAAGCTGAAGCATATTCTAATAGTGGAAACTTGTTATCATTGAACTTGGTTTGTTATTTGAACAGATGTTTATCCCCTTAAATGAGAATCCTGTTGCGATATAGTAAATCTTTCATTCTTAACAGATGATTGTCTCTTTATTTGAGAAATCTGTTGTGTAATCTGACCTACTCACATCTCTTTTGAGTATCTCCGACAGAGTTATTTATTTTCAGCAAGTGTCTATCCTTTGTGAAGCTTGTCTGTTACCAGCAAGTAGCTATCCTTTGTGAAGCTTGTCTGTTACCTTTTTTCGAGTTTGCAACTTGAGCTCTATTTTAACAGTGGAAGCTTATTATCCCGATAACCTTTGTCTACCTAGTAGAACAAATGATTTCTCCCTTTAAGATTCTCCGGTAAAGTCCATATTCTTTTTATCTCCAGCATTCTCAAGTCGTAGCTTCATTTACACGCTTTTCCCATCTCTTGCAGAATTTTATATTTCCCAACTGGAATTCAATACCTCAGCTGCATTGACTAGCTTGACATTTGCATAGAAGCATAGTGTGCCAGCTCACCTTCATCATTGACCACATCATCTAATGTAATCACAGATTCTTGCATCATTGCAGGCATGTGTCTTGTTCTTTGAGGTCTACTTGTGCTTGCTTGACCTCTGACTTCTTCCTGTCGAACTTCTCTTTCGACTTCACTTGTTGGTTTTTCACATAAGATTCTTACTGAATTCTTCTTGACATTTTAAGTCCAATCTCATTCCTTAAGCTCATATATGATCACATCCCTTGTTGATCACTACTTGTTTGTTTACTGAGTCAAACAACTTGTATCCTCTAGTTGAATGATATCCTAATAGGATCATTTGACTCGACTTGTCATCAAGATTTCTTCTCAACTGTTCTATCACATGTCTATGTGTTATAGATCCAAATTCCTTCAGATGGCTCAAGCTAGGCTTGACAACAGATCAACATTCTTCTGGCGTAATTCCTTCTAACTTCTTCGTCAAACATCTGTTCAGTATGTATGTTGCAGTCCACACAGTTTATCCCCATAATTCTTTAGGTAAATGCTTTCATTTTAACATACTTCTCACCATATTCATGATGGTTCTATTCTTCCTTTATGCAATTCCATTCTTCTGCGGAGTGTAGGGTGGCATCACCTTATGCACAATCCCTTATTTCTCACATAATGGGTCGAAGTCTTTCGACACATATTCTCCACCACCATCAGTCCTCAGAATCTTGAACTTTCGACCATAGATTTAAACTTGGCAAATACCTCAATCACTTCACTTTTCTTCTTGATCAGGTAAGTCCACAGTTTTCGACTGAAATCATCTATGAAAGTGACAAAGTATATATTACCTCCAACCGAATCTACCTGAATAGGACCTCATACATCAGAGTATATGATTTCAAGAATTTTCTTTGACTTTCTTCTTGCATCCTTACTGAAGTTGTTCTTGTGCTGCTTCGCTTGCACACATTCCTCACATACTTTGTTTGGAATTTCGATTTCTGGTAACCATGAAATCATATTTCTTCTTTTCAGATCTCTGATGTTTTTGAAATTAAGATGGTCAAGTCTGTAGTGTCATATCTATTTATCCCATGATATCTGCAGTTGTAAAGCACTTGTGCTCCATCATATTAAGTTCTATCTTAAAGGTTCTATTCGGACATTGGAATCTTCAAGATTAACATTCCACCTAAATCGAAGACTCTCATCATCTTATCTTCGATCAACACTTTGTAATTTTTCATTGTTCACACACACAAAAAAAAAAAAAACATAATATCTAAAATATAAAATGCCTACAAAATTTTAAATCCATTGTACTAGAATCAACCATATGCATGAGACCAATTTTGTTTGCAGAAAATTACTCCTCTTATGGATCTAATTTCATACACAAACTATACTATTATTCCAAAAAGAGCAACACAAGAAAATGCAATGTGTTTCTGATTGCAGAGAAATGAGAGAAAAACTATATGCATCTAAGTTTTTTCTTTTATCATGTAATGAGATTAAAATTGAATAAAAAGTGCCATGTGGTGAAATCAGATGGTAGCACATGGCTTCTCACATTCCAACATTAATAAACAAATATTAATACAAACTAGTGGTAGGGTTTTTCAATAGTATCACTTAAATTACAAAGGAAACAACCAAATTACTCTCACTAATTACTCATTATAATATTCAAAACCCTCTCTTTTTACCCTATTTTTTGCTCCAATGCACATCTTGGTAACTGTGTTACTTTCATAACAAAAACTTCACAGTACTATTCTTCATCACAATGCAAACCCTCTTTTTTCTCCTTTCAAATACATCATGGAAACAACTTTTTCAGTTTCAAATAATCACTCCTATTAACATCATTATCATTAACTATTTGTATTTATTTCACTTTAATTAAAGACTTAATTATAGTGTTTAACCATTTATTATGGAGTGGAAAAGGATAGTTTCTAATCAAATTATGGTTTGTTATGATTTATGTTTATTCATCAAAATTTCACTCTCATATTCATGGATGGCTCTTTTTGCAATCTTGTTGCTTTTTTCCGGTCGATTCGGTTTTTCATCTTTTCTCTTCACATCTTTGTTAGTGATTTTTTCAACTTTTCTCTATGTTGTTTCAAAGAACAAATCAATAAACATTGAAGAGAAATTAGTAGTAGAAGAAGAAGAAGAGAGTTTTTCAGATCAATGCGAAGAACAAGAACAAGAACAGGAGCAAGAAGAAAGCCGGGAAGATAATTTGTCGAATTGCGAAGGATCTGAAGAGGATTGGAGATTGAGATTGAAATATGAGAATGATGATTACTACTCAAAAGATGGATCAATCTCTGATGAAGAAAGTTTGATTGAAATTGCACTTCCAAGTGGAAATTATGTTGATGTGAAGAAAGAAAGATGGATAGAATTGTTAACAGAATTCAATGAAGTGATGATTGAGGAAGAAAATTTAATAGAGATTGATATATCAATGGGATCTATCAAGTACTCAAGGTTTGAAATTAAAGCATGATGATTTTGATTTATCATAGAACTATACTAGTAACTGTTATTTATTTACTTACATTATCATGTGTTAGTATAAGTGTTTGTGCAGTGTAAGCTTTTGTTACCCTACAAAACTTTGGATACCTATTCAAGTTTCTGTATTATTATGAATGCTTTTTGACTTGTTAATGTTCATCATTAAATTAAAAGTAATAAAGTTAAAGTTGTAAAAGGTTTGTAGCAACCTTGTTTGTGGAAAATTTTCTTAATTTCTAACTCTATTTCTTTTCTTGTATTATTAGTCTAAGTTATTAGTAATATCTTCGATAATTTTTAAGAGTTGGTTTAGTAGCGAAGATTTAAGTCTTTATTGTCTTAAATTCAAATTCTAATAAGTAGAAACAATTCATGCGATGGGACATGTTTTTAAAGAGTTTTGTTAACTCTGACTTTAAATGAATTAGTCCATCGTCTTAAATGGATTCGATCGAATATGAGATTGATCTATTTAAATTAATCAATTATAAAATTGGATATCAAGATTTAAAAGAATAAATATAAAGAATATTTTTTATTGAAAAAAAAGTTACAGACTTTTACTTTGTACGTTGTTATGGTCGCAATAGCCTATTGCAATCTATTGCATTATTATATAGTCAAAATTTTCATATGAAAATATATATGATTAATTCACACTGTGATGACGACCATAATTTCTAATGTAACACTAATATCATCGACTAAAATTATAAAAAAAATTTATGTAATCTGTGGCTGTGATTTTGTAAAAGCTGCGGAGTGTAGTTTTTGCAATCATTGTGAAAAAAATTTCTGGTGCTAACAAACATGTTCTAAGAGTTGAAATTAATCATGTGATAATAGAATTTTTTTTAAATGTTTTTTAGGTTATGTAATTATAGTTTTCTAATAAAAGTATTTAGCTTGAAAAATATACATTTTGAGCAATATATGTGACAGGAGTATTTGAGAGAGGTAACATAGCAGGTGTAGGATTAAATGCAAATTATCATCCAAATCATCTTTATCTTTTGTCACTTGTTTTCTTTATTTGGATAATTCTCTTAATTTAGAATTCTTCATGCATGCTTGTATACATAATATCTATGGAACTCATTCAGCAAAACTACATTAATTGTGATTGCTACTCTTCAACTGTGCATGATTTTAATTTTTTTTATTGTCTATGTTGCTAGGTTATTTTTCTTTGAAATGGATAAAATTAAATTGATTTTTTTTGTAAAATAAATTCTTCAACAAAAGTGAAAAAACTGTAATGAATAAAAAAAAATGTTGAATGAATTCATGGTTAAGAAAATTATATACTATATGATATATCTATTTATTTATATGTTTATTAACATAAGCCCCTTACACCGTTTAATGTTTTGTAAATGGAACATGATAAGATTTATATACATATATAAATGTCTTTTTTGTGCAATTGCAATTGTTGTGAAAAGGGGCTACTTATCTCTGAATTTGAGGAACTTTAATATAGAAATAGCTAAAATTCTAAAGTTATTAACAAGATCTCTGGATTTGAGGGATTCAAGGTTTGCAAAGTGGGATTACATGGGGTGGTTGAGATGATAATAGGTATTAAAAATATTATTTTAATATATTATTAGTTGATTTTTTAATTTTTTAATAGAGTTTAATTTAATTCAATTTTTTATTACTTTATAAGTGTTAAATATAATCTGGAAAAAAATGGATATAGAAGAGGATGTGGACTTAAATACTAGTTTCAAAGCTGATATTTAGTCTTTTGGAATTAATGCACTTAAGTTGCCTCATGGTTATACACCTTTCTCTAAGTATCCTCTAATAAAGATGTTTATCTATATATCTATATATGTGAAAGGATAAATGTGGTTTTTGTTCGATTCAACTTTTTGTTATTATCATGTAATTGAAGAATACCTTACCAAAAAAAAAATAGGTGAGGTGAGGGAAGTAGTGACTTGCTACTGTTTTTTCAGTTCTGAAAATATATTTTTGAAATGTTTTTGAATATGCATTTTTAAAATAATTTTATTTATAAAATTGAGATGTATCTCAAAAACAAATAAAACATATATATTTGAGTCGAGGGATGTATCTTTAAAATTTTAAAATATTTTTAAAATTTTGCATATAATATCTACGAGATATTTAGGGTGTAATAAAAAATCTTCAATAAAATGAAGATGAGATGTGAGACTAAAATTTTAATTTATCTTAAAAGAAATAATAATGTGATACGTGCTTAAAATCTTGACATATTACATAAAAAAAATGAGGGTGAAACATGCATAATAGAGAATAATAGAGAATGCTAGTCTAAAATATTAATTCGTCTTCAACAATCAGTATGTGCCTAGCTGCAATCTTAAAACATAAAATTTATAATAAATTATGTTAATTTCCACGTTTACAAAAGACAAAAAGAAAATTGAACAGATATAATAGATGATGTATGCCTAAAATTTTGATCGAGGATCATTTAGGCCTCCAACAACAAAAAATGTGATAAAATGATCATCAGTAGGCCGAATCTATTTTATCAAAAAAAAAAAACTGAATATTATTCAATAATAATAAAGTTAATATTTTTTTACAAAACATAGTAATCTCTGCGTGTAACTGTAGAGATTAATTTTTGAGTTGGGTAGGACTTCAATAGATGAAAAAACTCCTTTCTGATTTGATTCCTTCCCGAACAAATTTTAATATATTATATTTTATATTAAGTCTATTATTTATCACATTTTTATAATATTATTATTAATTAAAAAATATATTTTCAAATTTTAAATATTAAAGAAAAACTAATTCAAAATAAATCGCATTCAATTTGATCCATTTTGATTGGATTTTTAAAGACTATTTTCCAAAATCGAAGCAAGTTGCATTACTTTTATTTTTAGATCGAGTACAATTTTTTTAAAAAAATTTATTCAAATTACAACCCAAACACTTCTAATTTTATCTACATCTAAGAAATATTCAAATTTGTTTTCCAAACCATTCATTACATTTATTAAAAAAAATCAGAGTATGAAAATATATTTTAAACATATTAAATATTTAAATTTAATTTAATTCATTTTTACAAAAAAAATCAATTTAAAAGACGAGACTGCATAATTCTATATAAGTAAAACTTTATCTTTATCTATGTTAAATTTTGGAATTTTTCTGATACACCTTCTCAGTGAATTTGATATATGGATTAACGATAGACAATTCATAATTTAATCAATACACTTTAATTTATATTAAAATATGTGAGAAAATGGGTTGAAGTATCTTTATACTTCTTTCAAATTATTTTGCTTATAAAAAGAAAAAAATTGAGAGTTTAAATTAATACTTTTTGAAGTTATGAAAATAAAATAAATTTCAAATAATACTATTATGCACCAAAAAGATATTAAAGAGAAAACAAATGTGAAAGTGAATTTTTTACTCAAATATCTTATTTAATAAAAAAATTAAAATAATTCACTTTTCAATTTATTTTCCAAAATATCTTATTTTAAGGTGTGATAGAGTGTTGACGTCAACTCAATTGGTGACTGTTTATTGGGCTTAAGATGTGTCGCTATTAGATTGGAGACACTATATATATATATATATATATATATATATATATATATATATATATATATATATATATATTAATAAATAACATTAACATAAATTAATATTGACAACCGGGTTGGTCATGTCGGACACCGGTTCTACATCCCTTAAGTACACTCACTTGTTACACTCGTCCCTCTTGTTGTTAATTCACTCCAAGTGTTTGAGTAGTTGAAGTCTCAGGAACATTCCCAACTGATTCTCTAAGAATTTCTTGTATTTCTAAGAGGTCTTGTGTGTTGAAACTGAGCGTGTGACCCATGTCAGGATAGTTCGGATGTGATAAAGGGGTCATTGGTGTGCGACTTGGACGATTGAATGAGGACATTGGTGTGAAGGTTTCGTTGGTGAAATGTTGAAATGATATTGGAGTTTGAAAGTCATAAGGTTGTTATGATGCTTGTGTGAGTAGGCTAGGGTATGGTGTCTGAGCGTTTTGGCTATGGAAAGATGTTTGGGCGTTATGGCTATGGTATGATATGTCCTCATTTTGGCTATATCTTGATGTTGTGTTTAGGGCATAGCTATATTGGATTTCTTGATAATAGTCATTTTGTTGGAGATGGTATGAGGGACGCTCTTGGTATTGTGGTTGGGTGTTTGACATGTTTGGATGGTAGTTTTGTGTGTTTGTGGGTTGGTAATTCAGTTGGGTAGGGGTTGTGAGTAACGTGTCCAATAATTTCCTGGTGGGTTGGACATTGAAGCTTCTTGTGTGTACGTGGTTTGTCGTGGATCGTATAGATACCTCTCTTTGAAGACAAACTCAGTTGCAACTGATATGTACCAAGTCATATAAGTATTAGTTAGTATAGGTTCCTCTATTTACGACACTCAAATTTTGCAAAATCCTTCCAGCCGGGATAGTCCCATTGACTCTTTAGCTTTTAGGATCTTCCCTTGCTTTTATCTTTCTCATAACTTCATGCGTATGTCATATGAATTTGGAATCCTCGGACAAATTCATAGTTATTCGTATGAAACTAGGAAGGGGGTCGAGCACCTTCAGAATATCATATTCGAAAATCGAAAAAGAACACAGACTCTAAAATATTAAATAACATTGGTATAGAAATGAATAGAATTCCATCCTAGGGGGTTGCAACATGCAAACCCTTTCACCTCGAATGCAAGATTTCAGGATGACATCAACTTCATTATTTAAAAGCTTCATGCCCGTCCAGAATGCTTCCAACCAATCGTCTTTTAGACAATGAGAATCCAAACTTAAAACTTCTTCATAGAAGCAGCCCAGGGAAGTGATAGAAAGCTCCACGATGAATTCAACAAAACCTGAGGAAGAAGATACCAAATGAGTGTCACTATCGCTAGACAAACTCTCAGAAGAACCTATCATGTGTATCTCCGTGAACTTCC